CATTTTCAACACAGATGCACATTGCCGGTTGGAATGTACCATCATGTCTACGTCAGGGGAAGGGGGTGAAAATGCCTGGTGTCATGTTTGGGGGAGGGAAAACCAAAAGAAATCATTTCTGTGACTTTTTTTCTTTTTTTTTCTTCTTTTTTTTTTTTTTTCTTTAGCATGAAATATACACACTATTTATTTATTTTTTTTTTAAATGGAGCAATTGTTTTTGGGGTGGGAGAGGCCTTGTGTGTTTTGTTTTGCTTTTTTGTTTGGGGGTTTTTCTTTTTGGAGGAAGATGACAAAACTAATCTCCAGTTGGTCATGGTTAATTAGAGCTTTTAGTTTTTAAACATTTCTCAGGAGGGAGGGGAACTGAGATGGCGTGACCGAGGTAGAAGGGAGAGGAGGGTTTCTTCCCTTTCTACAACCAGCCTGGGTGATCAAAATCAATTCCAACTGCACTTTGTACAGACAGAAAGTACTAAAGATTTGAATATTATTTTTTTTTTTAAAACACTAGTGATGATTCTGTGGGGAAGCCTGCACGGATTCTGTTAAGGGGAGTGTGTGTGTAAAACAAAGGAAAACTGAAATACACTGATATTATTATTATTATTATTATTATTTTCCACTGCTGCTCCTGGTATGTAATTAGCAAGGGTGTCTTTCTCAGAATCTCTTCTAGGTGGCAAGGTTACCATACGTATCTCATGTTTATTTCATCTCTTCCTTTATTCTTTTATTACCTCAGGGTTGTTGGGATCTGTACAGCGTCTGTTGTACTGGGTGTGCTACTGATAGCACTAGAAACCCATTGGTTACAAGCAATGCTATGCTCCAGTAAGGGTCAGCCCAAAGCCTTACAAAATTCAGTTGCTAGTTTCTGTCTTAAGCACTGGATTTTTTTTTTTAATTTTATTATTAGTATTATTTTTGTTAGAAGGATTTTAAAGATGAACAAAATGACAGCTGTAGACAAATAAGGTGAACAACTAATAGCTAGCTCAGCTGCTGTGTGAATTTTTAAAGAGTCCCGTTGGAATCCAATTGTGAACTCAAGTGGTGAATTATTCTAGCAGATACTCCTGCCAGTTCTTATGGTGGGTTGCTCAGGGTTCAGCAGGAGCAACCTTGAATACCAAACTCCTACAAACAAGTTTTGTTTTCCATCCTTCTTCCGTTGGATTCTTTGTTTGGCTAGTCAGCTCTCTGGGTGCTGTGTCTCTGTGGGAGTGTGCCTGCCATCTGTGTGTGCTGGTGATGCCTACGACTTCAGCCATCCGTGAGTTAACCTGGCAAGGGCTATACTCAACGTGCTTCAGGGCTGTGCATGGACACTTCCTGTATTTCTAGTATATAATGCAGCAGTTCAAGTGCAAGTACAGAGAAATATTTATTCAAAGCACAATTGACTTGAACTTTCACAGATAAAGGACAGCTTCTGGCTCAAAGGTCATTGGTGTGCCTTCGATGCAGTCATGTGAGCAGAGGTAAAATGACTGTCACATCTCAGTCTTGCTGCCTGTTTTAATATCTTCACTTTAAACAGACTCCTGCATTATAAAGCTGCTTGAAGTGAGATGTTTCTGTTCGTCTTGATTTTTAAAATTTTTGTATTTTTTTTTTTTTTAAGTTTTCATCTGTGCCTGTTGCCATAGGAGTTTGTGTGTTTATAAGGAGCAGGAGTTGGCTGCTGTACAAACTGTTGGACAACCAGAGTATTAACTGTAGAGTAGAAAGTAGCAATCCTGATTCAGTTCAGGAATGAAGCCATTTAAATTTCTCTGTTTAGGTAGCTTTGTGTAGTGAACTAATTGTTTTTCAGTTGCATTGAGTCAGGTTTAAGAACTGTTCTAACTTGTTGCATAACACGAGCGGTCCTGTTTCTCTTACCGTCTGAAGGACCTGAGCACTAGATCAGCTCTGAAGGTGCACCCAAATGAAGAGGCATCTTACAGCTTTCATGGGAACGTGGAACTGGACTTGCTGTATTAAAATTGGGATAGAACATCACGTAAGCCTTGTAACATAGTGGCATCTTACGAATGAGTCTGACAGCTGGTACTAATCACTTAGGACTTATTTTTTTCTTTGCATCACTTAGAAGTGAACTTACAAAGTCAGAAGGGGGATCGCAGGTTCTTCCCTAAGGAAAAGGCTGAAAAGTGCTTAAGGAGTGGATGGCACTTCTTCAGTTTCTTGTAAGCTGAAAGCCAGCTGGCAAAACTGTGTGGAAGCAGCAGTTGAACTAGAGAAGGGATTACATGTCCTCATGGAGAGCAGAACTGGGTACAAAGCTGTTCCTCTTCATGCTGCCTTCAAACCCAGGCTTCCTGCAGTAATGCTTAGGGGTGTGACAGGGAGAAGAGCTCTCGTAAGACACTGTAATAGACTGTGTTCTGTGATTTGTTTGTAATCTGCATCTTCCACCTACTCTTGCTGTACCTTTCCAGAAGTCTTTGCAATATTTGATGGTAGAAATTTGTTAGCAATCCCATGGATTTTCTTAACTAAATGGTGCTGTGCAGGAAAAAGATTCAAGCTCTGCCTTACTCTAAACTCGTATGAAGTCTCCTGCCACTAGTTTTCTGAAACAACAATATTTCCTTTGGAATACATGGCTTTGCAAGCAGATGCTTTCAAGTTCCTCCCCTGTACTCAAGGGCTGGATGGAGATTCTAAGACAATAAAAAGGAAGGTGACAGAACATCGTGGTTCACTGTTCTTGCTGTCCCCACTTGTGAACACTCTCCTGTAAGGGCAGGACTGTAACTTGGGCAGTACTGAAGCAGATTGAAGTATTTTTGTAGCACTGACTTGTTTATTGTGTTTCAGTTTATTCGAAGAACATTTCAAAACTGCACGACATGAATTACATTATCAAAACAGAACTTAATACAGCTAACCAGCAAAGCATGCAAACACTACCAGGCTGTATCATAAATTGCACTTAAACCCCAGGAGTTTGTTGAATGTTCTCAGTCTGTGCGTTTCTTTATTTGCTCCAAATCAGTAGTTTTCCCAGAAGTTTTGTTTCTCGTACTGAATGCATCTTTAAGACTATCGACATCTCTCACTAAAGCAATCAGACAATCAAAAACAGAGAGGAGAACAGTATTCAGTAAGTTTACACTGGAGAAACTGAAGGTATGAATTGGAATACTATCACATTTTAGAACCCGCACAATAAAGTACGTTTTTCTTTTTAAAGAGAAACCTTGTAATGATTTCAGCGTCCTTTCAAGCACATCAGAAAGCAAGTTTTCATCTGAATTTCAGCTCCTTATGTCATTAAGGATGCATAAAGTGGTTTAATAACCTTGTCTTTCAGTGTGATACTCTGCTTCTCACAGCTGCGCTCTGCTGAAGCTGGTGGGATATCTAGATTTAGAGCCAGGAAATATCAGTCCCATTTCTGAGATAGAGTCACAGCAGGGCATTACTTCTGCTCAATCTTTAATAGGCACTTTATTTAAGGCCCTTTCCTTTCATAAGACAGAAGGAGAAAGGGGCAGCTTACAAGTACTGAAATGACAGTGCTGTATTATCAGTGGTTCAAGGCATTGCAGATGGGAAAGTAACTCACCCCCAAGCACAGATGTTGATCCAGCATGAGGGGAAGATTACTTTGGCAAACAAAAAAATACATTTTTCAAAGTAAAAAGTATAAAAGTAGCTGTTCTTTCAGCAAGGTGTGGTCTTTTATGTAGTACTTACAGTCACTCACTCTCTGATAATACTGCTTATCCTCTTGTAATTTTCAGTCTACCTCACAGCAGAGGAATAAGAGAGCAGGAATGTGTGTTCACAGGTTTTTGGTGCTCCCACTGTTTCCTTAGACTATTGCACTCCATTCAGGATTCTTCTAAAAGATCAACTAAATCCATGTAAATGATGTGAAGGTGGCAGTTCATACAATCACTGGCTGTGCAGGTGAGTTTCAGTTAAATTTTCCATTGTAAGGTTTATTTAGGTGTATGAAGCTTTAAAACAATATCCTTCTAGGAAAAAAAAAACTGCAACAGTTCTGACTTGTGTCTTTTTCAAAGCAGATGAGAACAGTATTTTTCTCTAAACTGATTTAGTGCAAAATTCCTCATGTCTGTTTACCAAGGCACTTTGATCATATCTGTGATCATAAAAGTAGCAATTAGGATCAAATGTTTTGCTCTAACAGTACAGGCCATCAGATTTACAACGCATCTTGTTTACTGTGATGTCCCAACCATCTTATCTTGAAGGGTGTGCAGTTTAAATATTAAATCCCTGTTGCTGAAATAGCAGTAGAAGCAGTAGAGTTCTTCATTACCACTCAGTTTTACTAAATAAAAATTAAGGGAGCTTAGATTGTGGCAGATTGATTGGAAGTAGTGCTTAGAAAATGTTCCTGTGCAAAAATTGTATGTAGATGTTTTTTGTATAATCTTCTACTGTCTCAGTTGAACATGAAAGCACTGTTACAAGATTATCTTCCACATAACAGAGATGGCACAGATCTGAATAACACTGCAGTAAGAAGAAAATGTAAGAGTATCAGAAAAAAAGTGTTGTTACTGCAGGAACAATGGCTGCTACAGCAGACAAACAGCTCAAGGTGCCTGAGCATTCTTAGCTTTCTTCCTGCTTTTCAAGTGTTTGTGTTTCTTAGAAGCAGAACAGTGTGTAAGAAGGGATGTTCTGCAGCTGTTTTGCCTTTGGCGCCAACAGATTTGAATTCTGTGAGCCAAAACCAGAAGTGAATTCTGCAATTCCAGGTCAGAAATATTCCTCTTTATCCACAATTTAGGCCAAACACATTCTGCATAAATATATGGTTTCTGAAAGCAAGTTATACAGCCATGTTAGATTTAACATGTGTGCCCTGAAGGAGAATAGGCATGTGGCCCTTAGACTTAGTAAACAGAAGGTCAGCATCTGTTTCTTTTCCTCAGTTGCAAAGTAAAACTACGGTGGAGCAACTATTCTGCTAAATGCACAGGCAGTTCCTTCTCATCTCAATAAAGGGCAAGGTACCTAAAGCTGAAGTTCATAAAACCTGTGCAAGACAAGTTTTGTGGAAGCTCTGAAGGGGAGCTTTACGCAGTCTGAAGATGAAGGACTGGGCCCACAAACAGCAAGCTTGAACAAAAAGCCCAGAACAAAGCAAACAAAGCTGCCTTAGCTTGTAGTGAGTAGTATACTGTCGTTGGGTCAGTGCAATGGAAAGATCTCAGCATCTTAAAGATAGAAGAAGGGAACGTTTCCAGGGCTGCAAAGTATGTAATGATAAGGTGCCTGGGACGGGTAGTACAGTGCACTCTTAACAAGACAGGATCTGCTCTGACTTCTTTCTCCCCTTTGTTCAATGATGGTGTTTGGCTGCAGTAAAAGAACTCTTCAGATGAGTTGCAAAGATGCTGCTCTCTTCAGAAGCCTAAACCAGAAAAAGCCTTAGTCTTGCAGTAGTCCCATCATATCATAAACATTCCCTGCTCTTCCTGGAGAACTACCTTCTTCACCAAATGGATGTAGATACTGGTAAGGACTGTGCTTTCTCTACATTCTGTTACAGTAAGTTCCATAAAAAGATTTTAGTCCTCTCTGAGGACAGGAAGGTGCACTTAGCAGTGATGGGAGAGGACCACTCAGTTGTGCTTTGGCTTTAGACAACATCTCCTCTGCCCCACAGTCACATATCTGTAGATATTAGATTCTGTCTTGCTGAAAACAAATGATGCCCTCCTAGATTCCAGTCAGGACAGGCTGTCCCCTCAATCATTTTCTGAGGAACTGGGAACTTCAGTGCAAGAAAGACAGCCTCTCTCGTGGGGGATTTTACATCGTATTTGCCTCTTACAGTTTGGATTTGGGAGTAGATTGGAGCAAGCTCCTCATGTCTAGCAGTGCTGTTTCAAGATAATGTGCCATGCGAGCTGCATTTGTTTCAGCACAGCTGTTGAATGCTGAAATGGCAAAGTTGATATGTTCATCCATAGGGTTGTAACAGATTCCATAGCCATCTGGAACCACGGGACCAAAACACATCACACAGTCTGTCTTTGCTGGGACCTGTGGAGACAATGTGATTAAACTTCTAACTACCCAGGCAAAAAAATGCAGCTATCAAAGGCTAACTATGTCAACAGTAGAAGAAACTCCTGAAAATGCTCTAAGGAGAACCTTGTGCTCAGCTCCCCCTGCCAGCACACACATCTTGGATTCTGCTGTGTAGTAGCAGTGTGATTTCTTGTGGCTCTACAAAGGAGAAAACTCTGATATCAGCTTCTAATAAGTCACAAGCAGAACTTGTTCAGTAAGACCCGGAGCACAGCAGATGGCACCTAACTCCACTTGGTACCATGTGCACCAAACGCTTTTGGTTATCTCAGCCTTGGTTATGCTTGTGTTTTATGGAGTAGAGAAGGCCGGGCAGCTGCAGATTAGATCTGCAGTTTTACTGGGGCTGGTAGCAGTTTTAAAATACTGTGAAGAGATGAGGGAGAAATGTGGGGAAGAAACACAGTGGTAATAAATATAGACCACTTCCATCTTTGCTTAAATGAGTCCTACCTGGCTGGTTGAGAGATTGAAGTGCGTTGCAACAGCATATGCTGTGTCCATGAACAGTTCAGGCATGCTCACTAAATCCTCAATAGCTTGAAGCTTCAGGCCCAAGAGGTGGCGATCTATTGCATTCCCCCTTATTGCCTGTAAGGATGGAAGAGCAGGTGAAAACCTGTCTTGCAGCAAAGTGAGTAACACTATCATCACTGGGTCAAAAAAACACCAACAAAAAGTCCACAAAAAAAAACAACAAACCAACAGTAAAAACCTTTCTAAGTATCTATCCATCTACAAAGTTAGAATACTGGACATTGCTCAGTCTCATTTGTAAAGACTGTGAAAATAAACATACTGGTGGAACCCACTTTACAGTTCCTGCCTATGTGCTTTCTCTGGTTTAAGGTGTTTTCCTGCAGCTGTGGCATTAATCAGAAACGATGTCAGTGAAAACAGAAGCTGTTTTGCTCTTTGATTTTTCCTATCACAAGGGGCTCTTAAACAACTAGTTAAAGAGGAGAAAGCATTCGGGCAGTAGCATTGTTGGCCACATCACTGTGCCACAGAGATAAAGCTCTTTAGGTCTTGGATTTTTTTGTTTGTTTGTTTTTATTCATTTATTGTGTAAAACCTCAATGATGGTTGCACAGAGGTCACTTACCATATCTGTGTATTCCCTGTGGGCCTGGGTAGCTCTCCTCAGCAAGTCGGTTTTCACCTGGTCCTGAAAGGAACACACACATCTTAAGTTCTTCTACAGAACAGCTAACCTCCTTTCAATCATTCCTGTAGGACAGGGGTATTTCTGCCTTGTGTGTCTGTACTAGTGTTAATTTTAAAATGATGTTGTTTGGCTGTGTTATGTTATTTCAAGTGGAGTTCTCCATCCATCAGTAGTAAAACTTAAGGTGCCTAAGCAAACTATTAGAAGGGAGTTGATTCCTTTTGGGAGGATTAGAAACATCCACCTGTTGTTTCCCTAGCTTTCAATCCACTCAAAAGAAAGCTAAATTAAATCCAAGGTGAGTAACTGTATACTCCAAGATACGTTTTAGCTCAACTTGATACCAGGTGCAGTTCTGCAAAGCTGAAAAAAGCTGACATAGCCAAATAAGCATCTTTCCCTTATTTCCTGCTATGGAGTCCTCTCATGCTACTTCTCTGAAATCCTCACCGATTTGTCAGGGCTGTCCATGGATTGCACAAACTGAAGAGACTCAATGGAAGCAGAGCGGATGGTGTCTGTGCGGCCCAAACGGAACATCCTCAGTGAGGCGCTCTCATACGTGGGACAGGCATGGCCGTACATCCTGGGAGATGGGGAAGAGTCAAGCTCGTGTATTTGATCTGAAGGTGGGGAGGATGCAAAGCTACCTCCTGAGTTGGTGGTCTTACCTGTAATATGCTAGCTGCAAGGCCAGCTGGATGAAAGCATCAGGACTTATCTTCTCTGACTTGGGGAAGGCTTTCCCAAATTGATGAAAGACCATCACTTTGATATCCAGGTCTTGGACCATGCTGCAAGGAAAGAGAGAGGAAGCGTTCCTTCACCTGCTGCTTGTTTTTGAAACATAAATGCATGAACCTGGCTTTCCTGAGGCTGAGAAGGAACAGGCTACTTGGATCTACATAGGGACTGACAGCTCCATCACAGTCAGGCTTGATTAGACATGGAGGTGAGTTTTTCTGGTCATTGCTAAAAATCTACACTGAGTTAGATGGGCTTATGTCTGTGTGTATACTCCAGTGTCCCTAGCTGAATCTGCTGAAGCTTTGTTCTTAGCAAAAGTGGAATGGATAAACAATTGCCCCTTTTCCATGCCTTTCAGTTTCCTCTTAGCAGGTGGCATTAATGTGCTTTTCAGCTAGGCTCAATGTTGACCCAGTAAGTCATTGGAAAAACTCCCTAGCAGCAGTGGGGGAAGGAAGGCTGATGTGTTTGAAATGGGGACATGAGTTAAACCTTCAGTCACTCACCAGAACCTCTCCAGTGCTTTGTACTTACATGTTAAGGTTCTGTTTTGCCTTCTCTATGTCATTCTTGATTTCTGGAGTTATGTTAAACCGCAGCTTCTTGGGCATTGGCAAAGGAATCATTGGTGATCTCACCAGCTCGGGTTTCTTCCTGCTTAGAGAAATGATATGTTTAATCAGCCCTTTGACACAAGACTCAGCTAAACATAATGGCAGGGGCAGAAGTGCACAGGAGATTTGCCACGTGCTGAAAAACTCTTCACAGTGCTATTACAGTGATTTTTGAAGAGTATGAGTGAAATCTCTTTAGTGCCTCCTGCCCAAAAGGAACAGGTACCAGGCAAAAGTGCCGTTGACTCTGAAGAGTAACATTCCCTAAAAATGGAAGCAGCGTGAGCTTGCCTGCTCAATTCTCATTATAAATGTAAGAAAAGCCATCACCAATTAGCATACGATACCCTTCCTCAAGAATAAATTCTTGGTGGAGCTGTGAAGAGGCATGGTCTTGGGGAAACAGGTGCCATAACAGCTTTTCCTTATTTCAAAAGCTGAGGAATGGTAGAGCAGGCAGGACTCACGTGTATTGCACAATGTGATCCAGAATAGCAACGATGGGTGGACCTTCTGCGGGAGCGTGCTCATATACCAGACCACAGGAGCCATCTTCAGCAATGATGAACTATGAGAGATCAGGAAGGAAAATGACTAGTACATGAAGCACGAGCTATCCAGAGAGAGGTGTTAGTGCCTCACTGCTCTGGAACAGACTGGACAGTGAACCTATTCCTGCATGCTTCAAAGGTAACACACAGAAGTCTTTCAGCAGGCCTAGAAAGATCTAATACTACTGCTAGGAGTTTTGAAAAACTAACTAGATAGAAGTGTGCCTGACAGCTATATTGGTGTGCTCTGGCAGTACAGAGTAGTTCAATGGGTTTGATTTTTTTCAGTTGCACATGTAATACAGGAATAATATCACCATATGCTGACTTAGCCTTACTTTTGCATTACCTGAAACATCTCAGCTTTATCCCATCAAGGAAGAGTTCCAAATAGGAACAAAATAACGGAAAACGTGAAGGCCTCAGCAGAGATGGCAATCTTTTAAAGAACCACAGCTTTGATCTGTGAGCCAGGATAGGTGAACTAATAAGGGGGAAGCTCAAATAGCAGCTGCTCATGAATGTTCTTGATTGAATGGAGAATTGACCAGAAGGATGCTGTGGGATGGCAGCTGATGCTGGGGGGGAGTGGGAAGAGCAACAAAAAAAACCTGGGCAGCTTCTAGCAGAAACTGGAAAAGTGACAAGCCTAGGGAAAATAAAAGAAACAGACCTCCCTATGTTTGGGCTGCCTCCAAGCAGACAAGGCATTGTTCACCGCAGGCAGAAAATTGATTTACAAGGAACACAAAGAACAGCTACACTGAGTAAGCGTGGGCAGAGGCAGTAAAAGAAATGCAAAGTCCCTGAAGCAAGTTGAGTTGACAGCAAGGGAAACTGAAGGATCTCACACTGTCAGCTTCCACAGCTTATCTCCTCTGTTTCTCCACTCAGTGCTAGAGAAGCTTTCCTGCAAAAGGTGTCTTGGATTGCTTGGCCCCTTTCAGTCTCAGGAAGAAGCTCAGACTCATCTATTCAGAATCGTTTGAGATCAGCACTTACTTGAAGGGTTTTGTCGAACCATCGGTTCCCACTGTTCCAGCGACTGCCTCCACCGTGCAGCATCTGAGCGGCCACACGACTCATGTAGATGTCCTCAGACACCCGTGGCATCGGTGCATCAAGGCAGACAGTGCAAATGCTCTTCTCAATTGTACGTACAGATTCCTTGTTGGTCTTATCTGGGAGAAAAAAGGAACAAAAAATAAGAAAAGGGAGTTGAAAAGCTTTCGAGTGGAGAGAGACTGGAATTTGAAAGAGAAGGTTTGAAGGAGCAGTGTTGGATCCCTATGGTACATCAGTGTAATATGTATTATTTAGGGATGTAAATTGATAGCAGCTGGGTTAAAGATGAATGTATACAGTTCCTTCCTTTTCTCAGGCTGGATGGGTCCTGGGCAGCCTGATGTAGTGGGTGGCAACCAGCCCACAGCAGGGGTTGGAACTGGATTATCTGTAAGGTTCCTTCCAACTTAAGCTATTCTATGATTTGCAATTCTTACAACCCAACAAACTCCAGGATTTTGGGTCTAATTCACCAAACTTCAGCTTTCACTCATGTACCTTCTACAACAGATAAAGCAACAGTTTGCAATGCAATCCGGTTGCTGCTTTGGGGTGGGAAGTTCATGTACATGTTTCCAAAAGCTTTCCAAAGGAAAGAATTGAGCAGAGCACAGCAGTGAGGTTGGTTTTCAAACATTTGTAGTGTTCATTAGCACTTGGACGTTAGGGACTGTACACACCTTTCAGAAGGTTGTTGTAAGCTTTTGCCCAGCTGTTTCGGTGGTTGGTGGTGAGGATTCCAATAGGTTCTTTGTTTGTTTGGAGGGAGGTGTTCCAGATCTTCTCCAGCTGAATAAAGAGCTGGTCGGTGGTAAGGGGGCTGCCGTCACTGTTGTACACATCCAGCTCAAAGAACTGAAGATGAGAACAGACAAGGACATAGGAAACGAAAGAAGATCTTAATTATCCAGCTGCCAAAAGAATGAGCTGTCACTCTGAAGAGGTAAGACCTGATCAAAGAACTCAGTTTGAAAGCAGACCTTTGAAAGGCATTCAGAATTGACAGACCAACCAAGTCCTACTTTCCTTTCAGGACATAAATACAGTCCAGGTTTTAAGAAGGTTGAAAGCCGTGGTAATGAGGGCCAAAACACAAGGATTTTCTATTTCCTAGATTTGCCTACAGTGGTAGAATTTGTTACCAATTTCCAACTTGAGTCCCAGCCTCCTAAGTCTGGGCTTTGAGAGACAGGGGTTGCAGGGACAAGAAAAAGAGGTTTCTGCCTCATCTCTTGCTTACACAGGTCTATCCCAGCTGTTGTTCAGTTAAAGCCAAAGGGAATAAAGGAAGCAGGAGTGAATCTCTGCTGAGGCAAACCTTGTGGGCAGAGTTTCTGTTCCATTTTCTCCAGCAGCACAGCTTACTGAAAGGGACGCATGCATCTAAACAAACCTCCTTGAAAGTCCAGGAGCTGCTCTTACCTGGAAGTTGTGAACCACTGTGATGTGTCTGGATTGCTTCTTGCCCTTGGCGTAGTTGACAATGGAGTCCCGCTTGGGCCCAGGAATGCGGCAGGATGAAAGGATCTGGTAGTACTGGTTCATGCAGAGGGGCTTCCCACCCAAGTACTCCACTGGGAGGGTCTCACTGAAGATATATCCAGGTATGGAAGAGAAAATATAGCAGTGAGAGGGCCTGCTTTCCTCACACAAGACAGACACAGAACAGCCACTGCGCAGCCACTATCACCTCCAGCAAAACCTAACCGTGTGTGCTGATGGTATACAAAAGGCTCATCTTTTCCCATTCCTGCTGTGTTAGCTGTCTGCTAAGCTGAATTAAGAGCCTGGTAATACTGGGAGATGTATTGTTTCCAGTAAAACAGCAGAAGGAAGTTTTCAGCTTTAATCTAGTGGGCCAGCTATGATGAATCAGCTAAGAGTTAGCCTCAATGGACCACTTTAGCAATATATTCCCATTACCCTTTCCATGGTTGGCCCCGAGCCTTAGCTGAGTTTGGATGCAAAGGTATGATGTTGGTTATGTGTTGGCAGATGCTATTTTGGGAACATAAATAAGGTGTATTCAGTTGGTGCTTAGAAGAGAGGGAGTGGGGAGGAGCAAGTTTCTCTAAGGCTAGCTGGAAGATGAGCAACACCAGAAACCCAAAAGAAGAGAGACAAATTCCTGCAGCCTGAGCTGTAACTTGTTCTGCGGGCAAACAGAAGTATGTAACTCCACAAGACTGTCTGGCTCAATCCCTCTAAACATGTATGCATGCCAACGAGAGCATTAAGGTAAACAAAGAACATGAAGAAAGTAAATTTATTCTTTAGCAGTGGTAACCCTGACAGCTAGCAGCACATATTGAAGAGATACTGTAATCAGCATTGCTGCTAGCTGTAAGCTTTTTATTTGGAAGGGAGATTCATTGACTAGGGTCAGCCTCTCTGTGACAGTAAGGAACACCTGAGAAGTCAGAAAAGTTGCTAACTCACTTGTCAATCATGGTCTTGAAATCCAGGATGCCCTCGATCAGCTTTGCAGCAAACCTGGAAAAATATCAAATGTAACAAATTGAGATTCCAACACAGGGCACCTGGGGCAGAGGAGCTAGCTAAGGAAGAGGAGCAGCAAAGCCTTCTCTCTGCTCTGTACAAGTTCATCCCTTCTGCCAAGCCCCTGTTGTGTCCATCTCTGGTTAGCTGATACAGCCACTCTGGGGGTGTGATTTCAGATTGCTGGACAGTCCAGCCCTTTAGCACAATTATTACATAACAAGGGAATTCTGGACAACTCTCAAGATAGGGTGTAGTCTGAATATATAAATAACCCTCTAAAAGCAGCATTTTCTACTGCTGTGTGATGATTTTTCTCCCATCCAAGTCTTAGCATTAAAACAACATGAAGGGGACTTCTGCCCTTCCCTGGCCAGAGGCCAGCTCTGAGTTTCAAGCTAAGCTGCAGCTGTACATCTCTGCATTGAGGACTCATCAGTGCTGATCTAGCTCCTACCTGCTTCATGTTCTGCTGCTAATGCAGCCCTAAGAGCACTCCTTTGGCAATGGAGGATCTGAAACAAATGCAGGCGTGCTGCATACTGACACTGAGGTGTTGTGTTCACTAGGATCAACAGAAACAGTTCTTAGTGACCAGCCACATCAAACTGCTTTGCTTGGGAGTGACAAGTTGGCCTTTTCTGACCTGGGAGCTCTGAACCACACGTGGGAGGAAAGGGGCAGGAGGTCACTGTGACAAGAGGTTGCAGTCAGCTGAACTTCAAAGGCTTTAAAGTAGTAGCAGCATTTGGCATCTGCATGCAGTGTCATCCAGATTTGCTCAACCTCCCCATCCCTAGTAAAGATCAAAGTGACTCCAAGAACCTACGGGCTGTTAAACAAACACAGCACGTGTCTTCCAAGGTAGTTTTCAGTGAAAATTTCCCAGCCTTACTGAAAAATCTGAGGAAGTAAAACAGCAAAGAAACAGAAGTCAGGGAGTCATTTCTGAGAGGAAACAGCCTGGGAGCAGAGTTAGAGCTTCAGGGGAAGAGCTTTGTTAGCTGACTTGTTTCCAGTCTCTTTTGACAGACTGAGGACTAAAGAACACTTTCTAAACTTGCTTTCTGATTTCTGAAGCTTTAGTTTCAAGCTATGCTGTCAAACTTCTTTATGCAGTCACAAAATAGACACTTTGAACTGTATTTTCAAGGGTAGCCCAGATTATTGTGTGGCTGCTCAGTTCCCTGGGGTGGAACAGTGGTAGTTCTCCAAGTCTTATCTGCTATCCACACAAAAGTGAATACAAGCAAAACTTTTCAGAGGTGTTTGTGTAATTCTGTGTTGTCCTTGTAAGGCTCACCCTCTGTACTGCTGGTCAGGTGTATCCAAGGAGCAGATACAGCTGACAGCAGCAGTGCTGCCCTGGTTGGTACTTCTCATTTGCAGGGAGCAGCAATAACTGGGCAAGAGGTAGTCCTGTGTAAAGGTCAATGCTAACGTTTTGCAGATGGAGTTTGAAACACACGTCTACAGTGGTGGTTAAAAATTAAAGGGAGGGAAGAGAAGATGTGAACCAGACACTGGTTCAGGAATGAGCAAGAGAATCTGCTGCAGATGGGCAGCGGTGGGCTGGTTTTAGCTGTGGGACACTGATGCTCACTGGCAAAAGACAAAAGGCAGGGCAGAACTGCAAAAAGTTCTGGTCATGGAGAGAGACTGGTGACTGTTGGTCTTCTAACCCATAAATGAAATTACAAAACAGGAGACAGTCCCTGCAGCAGGTTCCCTTGTCCCTCAGAACTAGCAAACTTTCACACCTAGGCTAGTCTTCATGCCTCCTTTAATTGCACACACAGTCTTACTGCCTTCTAGCTTTTAGTCAGTCAGATATATCCTCACAGTGCCTCCAGTCAGGGCTGTCAAGCAAAGACAAACTTAAGTTTTGAGTCCCAGTTCAGTGCCTGAACCACCAGACTCTTCACCTTATAGCCAGGATTCCTTACAGCCTACCAGCCTTTCTTTATCTGTACAGCCCTCTTGCACAGCATGGACAGGCTATAGCATGCCAACTACTCCCAGTCAGCCTGAACACCCACCCCCAGTCCAAAAGAGGTAGCTCATCCCATCTGAAGCCCAAGGGAAGGCAGAAAAGGACTTTACCTGAGCTGCCCTTGTCGATCCTGAAAATCCTGCTTAGGTAAAACCACACCAGGGCTGGAGTGAACCACAACTGGCAGGCGATACTCCAGGTAAGCTGTCTTCAACCACCAGTCCGAGAGCTGGCATGGAGAAAGGCAACATGCAGGCACAGCATCTGCTGCTTTTTGACCCAAGCCAAGCTGAACGCTCTCAACACCTTGACCGCAGTTCTGCCCCACACTTTGCAAACAGACAGTTTGGGTTTTATGTTTTGTTTATGGTAGAGGGGCACTGGAGTGAAGCATTAGGGGCTTTTGATGCAGGGCTCAAAAAGGAAGTTTCCTTCAACTCCTTAGTGCCAGCTTTGTGATGCCAACAAGCTAAGGGCTTCAGCAGCCACAGCCAGGGGCAGTGACCCAAGCCCTGGTGAGGGTCGTGCACATCTTAGGAAGGCCAGCAGCAGGCTGCTCATGAAGACAGTGCCATAAGAACGCAGATCCCAGCGGACGCTGGAGAGGCTTGCATCAGGCCTCTCCCCCCACACAAAGCCTGGGGCCAGAGTCCCAACCTACCCAGTTCTCTGTTTTCCTCGCTCTCCTCTCCAGGCCTTTCTGCAGTCTCTCCCCAACACCTCCTGGCTTGCGGAACTCAGCCACCAGCTCCTGCGTGTGGTTCAGCTCCTCCTCACTGATGATGGGCTGCAGGGTCAGCAGGTAGCGGTCCAGCGTCTGCTGAAGTGGCGGCACGGGGAGAGGGGGCAATGCTTCTTGATGAAGTAGAAATCTGCCTGGGATCTTGCCTAAAGCTGTTGGCTTCAGCAGGCCATAGGGCCTGGCCTGTAAAGCACAAAGCAAATGTCGAGACAGAACTTCCCCCTGATGTGCATGGGGTCACAAACAACTTGGGTCTGGGAGTCCCCGTCCCGGATTCTGAAGGTATCTCATCAGAGGAACGGAGCACAAGAAGCAATGCAAGGTGTACATCTATGACTGCATGCTCCAGCAATTTCTAATCTCTATATGGTTGTAAGACGTTCAGAAAAGCTGCAAGAGAAATCTGATCAATCAGTGCAGGAAACACTGCAAGGATAATAACACATCCCTGCTGTCTGGGTGCCTTCTAGCTGAGTATCTCCATGTTTCTCAAGTCAAACTTCCATACCGTGGGAAGTAAGTCACGAAAGAAACTTAATCTTAGGTAGTCAGAAGCCACGTAATTGCTTCTCAGGATACACAATAGAAGAAGGTCAAAAAATTAAGCAGAGCTCTGTAACAAAACAAATTACACTTTAGGCTTTTGGAAGGTGGGAGGGGGGGCAGATTTAGTTAAGGTGAGCTAAGCCTGAGGCAGGATTAAAACCCCTCTGCTTTGGCCAGGGATGGTCTATCACAAGTGATGGTCAGGGAAAGACTGGCTGTGTTGGCCTTTGGGCAGTGCTTCTTTGTGCTGGTGAACCTCCCAGTCGGTGGAAGCCCCAGCAGTATTAGGACAGCCTCTATTCAGTTGTACCAGTATGGAGCTGTTCAAATTATAGGAACCTCTGGAGAGGAATCACTGGGAGCTGTTCAGGAAATTGTGGGTGATGGAACAGGCTTTGGGAATCAGACAGGTGAGTGAAAGCCTTAGACAGCATCACACCAGGTGATCTCCTTTTCTACAGGAGTGTGGGATGCAAAGTGCCTTTTGCTTAACCTTATTTGCAAGGCAATAAGAAAGTAAGTGCCCCCATACCTCCCAGCTCCCAGGAGTTAAGCAGAGAGAAGAAGAAAAATCTGCAAAGTGACAAAGCTTTCTGCATGGTGCTGAGCCCTCAGAGAAAGTGCACTATGCTCTTTGCAGGACACGATAAGAGCCATGTGATCAAGGTTTGGGGAAGGAGGGTTAAAAACAAGAGAAGGGGGAATTACTCAAGCATTAAAAGAGAGGGGCTGGGAAGAAATGAAGGGAGTTGATCGTGGCAGCGTGAGGATACCGTACCTTCTCTGCTTGCTTCTGCTTGCTATCCATGGCTGGGAGGACAGAAATGATCGTAAAGCTCTCCCTCGGCCTGTCTTGGTTTCCTCTTCCCCCTGACAACGGGCTGCCCGTGCAGGGCGTCACCTGATTAGCAAACTGCCACATGACTGCTCCGATCAGAGGGCTCAAGGCCAGGCACAGGTCAGGGAGAGCTGGGGGTAATCACGCCATCGAATGCCATGAAGGCACCTTTCCAGGAAGCCCTCCCTCAGTCACTGATTGTCAGCCCTGCACTGCCCGGTCTGTGCCTGCTGACTGCTCTTCAATCAATAGCTCTGGGTCCCCAGCCATGGCAGAAATGAAAGCATTTGGAGCTAAAGATGATATCTTCCTGCTCTTCTTCCATGCACGTAGGATCATTATTGCGAGACTTTGGGAAGTAAAGGGTTGTCAACCCTTATAAACAAAAAGGTATCTCCAAAGCAGAGCAACAACATGGTGCAGTCCCAAGGTCTATTACGCTCCTCTGGGCAACTGAGGGGCAGACAGAAGCAGGCTTTAAACACAGCTAAGGTCACAAGCAAACAGAGAAAACCCCACACTAAATTAGTTGAAAACACAAGTTAAAACACAGGGTAGATTTATGTTTTCTCTTTTATGTCTGTCCTCTGCTCGTTTGGATCGAGGTCAAACTCAAATGTTTGATACAAGGAGGAGCAGTGATCACAGCTGAACAGAGGAGGCAGCTGGCAGCAGAGATAGTGAGTAGCCTGCCTTTTCCCCACAAGCACCGGGGAAACAAACACCAGCAGAGTGCAATGTGTGTGGATGGATCCAGCCTGCAGGCTGGCAATGCTCCCAGGCCACGTTCCAGTACAGCAAGTGACCTTTTCCAGAGTGTGTAAAGCTGATGCGAAGTCCACCTGCAGGCTTGGGGGCGGGATGGATTTCAGAGCGGTGTCTGATTCCCAGCACAGCCACAACGTGTAGTGTCAGATTGTGTTTGTCTTTTTAAATTAGAAACTGGAGCCCCCTCCAGCCCTGAGGCAACCAGTGCTGAGAAAGCACCTCATGGAGTGAATCCACAGAGCTGACGCTATCCTACACTGCCTCCTGCCCTGACATCCACAACGGTGTCAGTGAGCTCTGACAAAACCAAGGGCTGGGTGCTGCGCTTTGGCCGCAACAGCCCTACGCAGTGCTATAGACTTGGGGCAGCGTGGCTGCAATGGTATGCAGAGGAAAAGAATCTGGAGCTGAATGTGAGCCAGCAGTGTGCTCAGGTAGCCAAGAAGGCCAATGGCACCCTGGTTTGTATCAGCAATAGTGGAGCCAGCAGGAGCAGGGAGGTGACTGTGGCTCCATACTGGCACTGGTGGGGCTGCACCTCAGTGCTGTGTTCAGTTCTGGGCCCCTAGAAAGACATCGAGGCTCCAGAGCGTGTCCAGAACGTCTCTTCTCAAAGGAGCAGTGCTGCACTGACGCAGCTGCCCACCCTGCATAGCTGCTGGGGTCACCATGCATGGAGGTGTTCCAGACCCGCAGAGATGCGGCACTGAGGGACATGTCGGTGGGCTGGGGTTGGGCCTGGAGATATGAGAGCCGTTCTCCAACCTTAACGGACATCTTGCCCAGCAGCGATGCAAGGCCCAGGCGGGCCTCAGGGCCTGCAGGCTGCCATCCCCTCCCTGCACCCCTCAGCGACACGGGGACACCACCCGCGCCCCCCGCTCCCCTCAGGCTGGGAGCGAGGCCCGGCCGCCATCTCACGCACCCCGCGCTCCATCCCGTCCCTCTCGCCTCGCACTCACCGCCGCCCTCGCCACGCAGCCCAGCATGGCTCCGCTCCCGGCCGCCGCCGCCCGCCGCAAGGACACCGGCGACACCGGGCGCCGCCGCCCCGCTCGGCCAATAAGGGGCGGGGCCGCCACGCCGCCATCTTGGTGCGGGGCGAAGCCAGCTCCGCCATTTTGGGAAAGGGCACAACACCGCTGTCAGGAGAGCGAGCGCAGGCGGAGCGGCGAGGCGGCTCTCCCGTTGCCGGCTACCCTCTCCGTGCTTTGGCGAGGCGCCTCGTTCGAACACGGCTGCCTCCACACCCTCTGAGTAGGCAACGGCACAACTGGCGGTCGGGAGGGAGGTCTGTCGGTCAGCCAGCCAGCCAGACGGCCGGCCAGCCGGGTTGTGCGTGCCCGGCTTAAAGATGGCCGCCGGCAGCCTCGGCGTCCGGGGTGAGAGGTGAGAGTTGAGGGGTGAGAGCGGCGGCAGCGGCCTCCGGGAAGATGGCAGAGAGCGAGCGGCGGGCAGGTGAGGGCAGGGCCGGGGGCTGCGGTGCCCCGAGGGCTGGCGGGGGATCGGGGTTCATCTCGTGGCAGCGGGACCCCCACAGCCGTCGCTCCTCTCTGCGTGTCCGCAGCGGAGCGGTGTCTGCGGGGAGCGGGGCGGACCGAGCCGAGCGTGGGCCGGCAGCGCGGGGCGGGCCGGGCGGTGCGAGCCGGGGCTCCTCGGCCCGGAGGAATCCGCCGTGCTCGTGTCGGACGCTGCTCTGAAAAGGGGCTCCGAAGCGGTGGCTCTCAGTTGTCGGCTGGGTTTTTGGAGGAGCGGAGCCACGCTTCCCCTTCAGCCTTCCTGCGTGGTTCCTCAATCTCATTCTGTTAAGCAGAACTCGCGGGCAGGTGGGACAGGCGAGGAGCTGACATCGGTCCTCAGACAGAGAGCTCGCAGCATGCAGAAGTTCCGTCCTCAATGATTTCCCAAACTTTTGTGATAGCAGATCCTCCCTGTTTCCCAGGACTTTGGGTTCTCTTTTCCCTGCTCTGCACACACAGGGGTAGGGCTGCCTTTGCTCTCGGGTGGTATTTTTCTGGAAATGCAGCCTATAATGACATTTCAAGGAGTTCCAATGGGTGCCGTGGAACACTGCGCTGTGCGGTTGCTGAGGTGCTTCTCCAGGTGCTGAGCAGGCAGAGGCCTGCAGGTGTTCTGGGGTTCATGTGGTGAGCAGGTTGGCCCTGATAGAATTCATGAAATTGCATTAGCCCTTGGTTTCTTTAACAGTTGTCTGCTCTGCTGCCTCGTGCTGCTGTGTGGAGGCAGGAGTTGGACTCGGTGATCCTCGTGGGTCCTTTCCAACTGGGATAGTCACTGATTCCATGGTAGAAGTCATGCTTACAGAGAAGACTGCAAACTGCCTCCAAATGATCTTTGTAGTGTTGATCTTTAAGGTGCTGCGAGCCAGCATCCTCAGTGCTTCTGGAATGGGGAGCGCTGCTCTGGGCTGCCATCTACTGAATTGCTCTTGTGTTGTCTGCAGGAATTGTACTTCTTAGGGGAATGCAGCTCAGGGAGAGCACCCTGAGAACAGGTGGTTTGTCAGGAAAGCTTAGTGCTTGAGCATGACCTGAGGCTTGTTCACCCTAGAAATAGTGAAACTAGCTGGATGCTATCACTGCTAGCTCCTGCAGGCTTCTCTCTCTGATTGGGGAACTCATCTTCAGTAGAGACAGTGGACGTAATGCAACCTTCTGAAGCCCTCAAGCTTCAGTATCCTTGAGAGGATACTGCTTGGCGAGCAGGACTTGGTGAGATAAAGGCATGGGCAGAGATAGATTTGTTTGCTTTCAGTCTCCTGGGACATTAATGTTGCTTTCTATGAGAGGAAGGTTAGAGGGCTGCTGCTCACCCACTGCCTCTGTTTCACCTCTTTCTTGCACCTCCCAGGCAATTCAGAGGAGATGGCTCCTCCTCTCCAGCAGAGCTTCATGATCCCCAGGAAGGAGATAAATATGGTTTCTGACATGGGCAAGTGGAAGCGCTCTCAGGTATGTCTGTGGGTTCAGGGGAAACTGGTAAGTGCTTATTATGTTATAGTGGCAGCTGAGTCTGGACTGGTAACTGCCTCTAGGTGTGCAGCAGGTTTGGGCAAGCCATGGGAAATTAATTGATGTGTGTTAAAGCAGGAGTCGCTGCCTGTTTGTAGGAAAATGACTTGGCAGTGAGGTGTCAAATGCTCAAAGGAGCCTGGAGAGCCCCAAAGTTGAAGGAGATAAGAGAGGTGTAAGAATTATTACTGCTCCCTGCTGGCATGCCAAGTGGTAACTGTTTCACCCTGCATAACCTGTATGTTGTGAGGTACTAGCTTTTACCCAGCGCTGTTTGAATTCAGCTTGAATGTGATCTGGCTGTCTGGCCTTCTTACGACATCAGAGTGAGTTGATTCCTGGTGCCTTCCCACTGTGCTGTACTGGAAAGGGCTCTAGAGCCAAAGCCTTCAATTTACTGGGTAATTTTTGTTTATAGTGTCTGTGGGGCTGGTGGAACAGGCAGATTCTCTGTTCTCTGCCTTTAAGAGATGGCAGTGATGGCCCAGACTTGTTTCTCCTGTTTGTTCTGCTGTTTAGGAACAAACTCTTGCTTAATGTCTTATGAACACCTTACTGTAACCAGCTCTCTAGCAAACTTGGGGATTGCAGTTTCCTTTATTAAATCTTCTGGGTTTGAGGACTTGCTCCTCTCTGGATTTTGGTGTGACAGGGTCCCAAGGAGCAAGAGTTGGCAGTGTGCTACTCTAACCATTCCACAGACTTAAAGCTACTGAGCTGTTCTGCATATGATATTTCAAAAGCAGCACAGCGGTGAGGAATTTGGGCTGTCTCCCACTTCTCCATCATGCATGTATGCAGGAGAACAGAAGGAGAAAAGAGGAGATAATGACAGGTCTGGGAGAAGCAGTGCGAAATGGGCTGTCTGGACACCACAGAGATTCTGCAGAGCCAGGGAGTGTGAATTTGACCTGATAAGAGGCAGGGAGCTGAGAGAAGGATTTCAGGGCGGTGTGAGCTTTCCTAGAATTCTTCTCTCCATAATTTTTTCAGCAATGCAGAGTTGGTGCAATCACCATCTGCCTTCAAGGTCTTCCAGAAATAGCAATAACCTCACAGCAAGCCCTGTGCCCTGGCTGTCTCCAAGAAAGCAATGCTGTGTTCTGGGAAGGGTTCCCTTGGTGTCCAGGAGCACGATCATGCTGCAGTGCTTATTCAAACAGACTGTGGGTACTCACTGACACCTTGCTCTTTTGGATGTGTTTGCAGGCATACGCAGATTACATGGGCTTCATCCTCACCCTGAACGAAGGTGTCAAGGGCAGGAAACTGACCTGTGAATACAACGTTTCAGAGGTAGGAGGGGAGTTTAGATCTGCTTGTTTCTCCTTTTTTGCTGCTTTTGATTTATTTTTTTATTTTGGTCTCTACAGTAATTATCTCCTAAGCAAGGGATGAGCTGACAACTTATCTGGGAGAATAAATATAGTTGGGCTGTGTTTGGGGATGTAAATGTCAGCCTGGTGCAGAGGCACTGTGTGCTTGCTGGTAGGAAATGGAGCAAGCTACAGATGGACAGAAACTGGTGATGGAAAGGAAGCTTCAGAAGGGATGTGCTTTGGCCCTGATTTTACAGTCTGGCTTCAACCGGGGTTGTTTTGTAGATGTGATAACTAACTAAACTAACAAAAACTCCTGGCTGCAGCCAAAAGGCAGAGAAGTCTGTACTGCTCCTGCTTCTCCCACTGCCTCTCTGTGTGACCTCATCTATGTGGTGCTGGGCCTGTTCTAATGTCCTTGTCAGGGACATGGCATAGTGTTTTGGAGCCAGTGGGGATGTCAGAGGGGAGGGAGGGAGGGCAGCTTCCCTGCTGCTGTTGCCTTCCTCCAGCCACGTGTAGACTGTTCTGAGGTCGCTATGGGTGCTGCAGTGATCTGCAGAGCATGTGCTTCCATGTTGCATGCTGAATTCTCCTCCCTTGTTCCGTGTTGGAATGAGGAGATTCTTTGGTATCTTTTTACTGTTTGAGCTTATCGCAGCTGTGCAAGACAGCTGGGAACGGTCTGGCTAGAGAAGATCTAGGTGGAATGGAAAGCAGACTGGGCCTGTGCGTTTATAGATTCATTCTTGTGTGGGAAGGCAGCCTACAACGATCTTTAACCTAGCCATTTGTGTCTGGAACAGGCATGTAAAGTCCAGCCTTCCCTTCAAGGAACGATGTGTGAATGAGAAACTTTGCTTGTACTTCATGGGGGGGATCAGGGATAACGAATGCCTCTCTAACAGGCTTTGTGTCCAGCCTTTGTTCCTTTAATTCGGTAGAATGTGCCGTCAAATGCCACTCTTGCTTTCCACTGTTTGTATTTCACCTTTGAGTTTTGCCTTTGTCACAATCTTGCTCATTCACAGAGCATAGGGAAACAAAGCATTAAAAATGTACAAAAGGAAGGAACAAAAACTCCCTCTTCTTCCACCCCCTCGGAGAGGCTGTCAGGCTGTGTCTGTGCACGGGTCCCTCTTGGAGTGAATTGATCCACCCACAGCCCCAGTACGGGCAATAAACAAGAGATGTGATCCTGGCTGCTGGGGATGTGGCAGGGAACATGTCCCATTCCCCTCGCGTGGGGGAGAGCAATAACCCGTGACTGGAGGCACAGGTGGAGCATCCCCTGGGTCGCCTTGTTGATGAGGTTGCCTGTTCATGCAGGTTTGTTTGTAGATCAAACTGCTTATCTTTGCTTTTAAAGGCTCAGCCCCTTGTGGCCTCTGCTTGCATCTCTGCTCTGCTTTCTTCTCTTTTGCCCGTACCTGCTGCTGATGTGCTTTTGTGCTGTCCCATCTTCCTCCCTGATCAAATGCTGGAGATGCCTTCCTTTGGCAATGACCTCCTGGAATCCTTTCCGCTGAATGCGTATCCTCTGCGACTGACGGTATTGCTTTGCAAGCATGGTCTGTTCTGCTTTGAAAGAGACAGCTTAATAGGTTCTGTAGTGGTGTGTGTCGGTAGCAAACAGCCTGCTGGAGTGAGAGCCTGCTCCTTTGGGGGCTGAGCCCCTTCTGAGATTGGCTGAGCTTGCTCCTCTTCTGCTGAGAGATCTGGAGTTTTGCTGGAGACATTGGGTGGCTGTGTGGCACTGTGGCATTGTA